CCTGCCCGCGTTACGACCAAGGGGGAATTCTGGGCTGAATGGAGATAGAGGAGGATAAGGATTTCTTAGCTGCAGTTGTTGTCGCATGTCTTTCTCTTCATCTTCTTCCTCGTCTAGCAGCAGCTTTAGTAGCGCCAACAGTGCCAATAGTAGTTGAATCCCCACCATTGCCACCATTGCCTCTGTCCCCGCTCCTCCGACCCCAGCTCCTCTTGCGCAACCTCGTCCTCGATGTATACACTGGCAAAGCTTCCAAGGTGGGCGAGTGACTTAAGCCGCTCCATGCCTATCTGGACGGAGGGGATTGGGGATGGGATGGAGACGATGGCGAGCGTGAGCGGCACAGTGAGCAGATACGCCAGGAATTCTACCAAGGCATTGTCGAGGTACGCTAGCTTTTCTTGATCTAAATCTGCCCTATCGTCTGTACATTCTGATCTCGACTCTCTTTCTAAATCCCCTCCCCTTCCCAAATCCCAAACCTCCAACTCCAGCTCCCAACCGTTGCGCGTCCTCCATTCCCTCGCATTTCTCACAAGTGCAGTGGCGAAGCGCGCGTCGAAGAGGGGCGTCTTCACTAGGGTGTAACTCGACTTGAGGGTGCCATGGAGGGGGGGGGACGGTGACGGTGGGCATGAGTCAGGGGAGGAAATGGAGAAACAGACGGGGCAGGAGAACCGGGATTGGAAGTGAGAGTGGGGGGTCGACTATACGCGAGGACGATCGGGAGTGTGTATGCACGCTGGAGATAGAGCGGGATGTGATGAGGATGGCTGGGGTTGAGGCAAGGCAGATCTCTTGGGCGAGGGCGAGTTAGTTGCCGCATGTCTTTCTTTCCGTTCCTCATCCCTTTCTCTCAGCCGAACAAAAAGCAAGCTGACGCCCCATCCCACACAGATACACTCGACAAGATGGTCGCGTATGGCGTATTCGGCATGGGTAGTGCTCCTGCGATGTGGGGGCGCGGTGCGGGCGTACTGGGCAACAGCGTGGGTTTGGGGCAGGGGGACGGGGACGGGGATGGGGATTAGGATAGTTCTGATGGAGGTAAGGGTAACGGCAAAGGCGGGGGAAAGGCAAAGGGGAAGGGGAAGTGAAGTGAAAATGGAGGTCGGGGACAAAGACCTAGATGAACAAGTTCAAGGATATTGGGACAGTCGGAGTGGTTCTGCGTTGCCGTGATGGTGGAGTGTGCGTGTGTCCCGGTACAACGAGTTCAAGTTTGGCTTCACGGTATGTGCTGCCGCAACTCTCAGGCAATTCCTGGTGTGGTGATAGAAAAAAATCACATGGCCAACAGAAAATCAGAAAGGGAAGAATTTCCTGTAGATGCTCGCGATGATGAGGAAGAAATACCAAAAATTTCAAGGCCAAGATCTCCAGTGCCGCAGATAGTGCGTCAAGTGTCTCACTGGGCAGGCGTGGCCTAGATGTCGAAGAGTTTTCACATTCAAATGACTTCATTTGTCGATTTCACCGAGGCTGATCAAGCTATAGCCTTCCCGAGCGACCTGGATGGGGTAGAGGAAATCCTAGCGCAACTGACTGGCCCTCATAGTCGATGCCAAGATACAAAATGGTATAAATGTTGGAGAAGTATCTTAAGTCCCGTTATTTTTTCCACTGGTATCAACGTTAGTCCTAACACATTAGAGAGAGTCATCTATGCGGAGGCAGGACTTTGTGGGCGGGATGGTCAGGGAACTCGGTTGATTCCGAATCCTAGCAATCGTCACATGTTAACTCTTTGGTCTTCACACTTAAGCTACACGAACCAAGAGATTTCTATCCATATTCCATCTTCAAAACTAGTACTACGATGCACTCTACTCCCGATGAAATTTCAAAATTTATCGAGTTCCACGCCGGTTGCTCAAACACCGTGATTCTTAACGACGCAGAGGCGATGACAGCCAAATCCATGATTTTAGATACCGAGACTACCATCGCCTCAATCGAGCTCCAAATTGAAGCTCTTCAAGAGAAAATACGTCGGGATAAAAAATGTCTGTATCGGCTCCGCGCTGCCATCGCGCCGCACAAGAAGTTACCTGTAGAGGTTTTATCTAAAATCTTTCAAAGCTTGAACGCCATCGAGGTGACCCACGTACCTCCTCGAGCACACGGCTTTCCTTGGAATATCCGCAGAACGTGTCGCACATGGTCAGACATCATTAAGGGCGATCTAAACCTCCGTTCACGCAAAATTTCAGTCGACATACGGCGGAATTATCCCGCCAACAACTATGGTTTCAAGGCAAGCAACGATTTGCTTTTTCATGCTATCAATTCTGTTTTGCCATCTTCCTCCCCAATCCAGTTCTCTTATCAAACGCCATCCCTTAAAAAATTTATCACTGATCAGCGGATTCTCTCTACCGTGCTACCCTATGCGACAGAGATCAGTTTCCACAGCACCACGCTTGCTGTATACGAATTCCTCACATTCACTCCCAACCAACCCCTTCCACTTCAGCGTCTATCTTTCCTTTTACCATGCGACTTAGGGCCCATACTACCTTTGCGATCGGGATCCAGCATCTTTCCATATACCCCTAGCTTGAGAGAAATCAACCTCTCGGGGCAATGTGCTCCTTCGCACGCTGTACCGTCAATAGAGTCACTGGATTCTGCTACGGTTGAGCGCATGCTAGCACTGGCCGACTGGACAGACCAAAGAGTCTGGGAAATCACTGATCGCATGTTCCCATTCTATCCATTGAGCTGCTTCAGCGAGGCCATACCCTGGAGTCAGCTCACGCACATCAATATCCTTGGTGTGGTGGGATTGTACATCGCCGATGGAGATTTTGGAATCCTTGTACAATGCACCCGCCTGACCCACTGCGCATTCACTGTGTTAGACGAACAATCATCCATCGTCTATGAATTCCCGCGCCTAGAAAGCCTAACTATCCTCTCCGAAGAGACCGTTCTCAATGCACTTTCCATGCCTGCTCTGACCACTCTGCATATCGAGTGTTGGGAGTTCCCCCGTTTGCAGCTAAGATTGCTCACCGAGCGGCAGGGCTGTCGTCTGAAGATATTCGCGCATGACACATCTCGAGACGTCGACAGCACACCCTGGGACCCCATTATGCCATTCTTCTTCTCGTATTTACCGGACCTAGTCGAGCTACGGACGCCCAAGCTCCATATCCCCCTGGAAGTGTTTGAGATGATCGCGCGAGGAGAGCAGCTACCGCTACTAGAGGTCCTCGAATGCAGGGGGGCAATACCAGAGGATTTGGATGCTCTGACAGATACCCTCGAGTGCCGTTGGCAGGCAAGCCTTTCAGGAAGAGGGAAAAGGATACGAGAGGCTTGTATGTTCATCTACAGGTGGTGCGTCCCTGTAGAGGATCGGACTTGGTCGATGGCTTTCAGGAGGTTTGAGGACGCGATCAAGGGTCAGTACGGGCTATACACCATTCGTGAATGGACTCCCAACCATAGGAGTTGCGTCGCTCGGTGATATCACATAGAAAACTAATTATTTCACTATGAATTCCATGCTCGATCCTTTCTCGACGTGCATATGTCCGAAAACAATAGCGCACTGTAGTATCTGTAAAGGAAGGGAGAGGAACAAGGTAGTTTGAATCCCTACACTGTCCTCATGATTTTTCTCTCGTCCTGGTCACCGAAGATGTCTGCAGACGTGGATTCCCTAGACCTCAGGTTGGGGCCCGCCCAGGGAACTTGCCCGTCGTTCTGAGATACAAAATTCATATGCAGATTCTATGGAGACTGTGAGGATTGAACTCACAACTCATGCATGCGCGCTACCACTCCGTCAAGACCCCATAAGTCTCGGTGCCTTTGTGGGGTACGGTGCCCTATGCTACTGGTACCTGGGTACCGATCGGCAAGAAGCCACGTCGTTCTGTCGCGTCTGTCGCCCAGGAGGGACCAAGGGCTTTGAAGCTTTGAAAAAACGGCACCCAAGCGTCGCTAGAGGTCTGTAGAGTTGAGATATTTACGAACAGAAGAAGACATTCACTATTTCTTCTGTATAGTGCCTGTCGTGGTAGCATTGGCATTGGCATTAGACGTTGGTGGCGGGTGATAAGGGCTTAGGGAATGAGAGGCGGATTGAAATCAGAGCCGAGATAGAATTTGAGAGGTGATGGAATTTGAGAAGTGACCGTTGAGGTCGTGGTCAGCTGGAGTTTGCACGAAGGCTCTCGTAAGGTTGGGACAGGGGACCTGAAAACCCCATACTATGTCTCGCCGGTATCGGAGAACGCGCGTCGGAGTCGCTAGCTGCAGAGAAGCGGTTTACGTCGGTGAGGTAGGGTACATGTATCAAGGCACGCACAAAGTCCATCAGTCTTTCCTTTCCCGCTTCCTCGTTCCCGTCCCCTGGATGAGATATGGGAACATAGCCCCCTATTCCAAATCGTCACCCAGAGTGTCGGTTAGGTAGAAGCTCGTATGAATGAGCCTACATCCTTCACGGACTGAGTCGTGGCGCCGTCGTAGAGGTCCGCTGTGGAGATGTACGCCGAGATCGTTGCGCTGACTACTTCGTATCGTAGCCGCCGCCCCCGTATATTGCTGCCCTTATGTCAAGGCACTCGTGGAAGAAGGGGTGACGAGCCCATGGTGCAGCGTGTCTGTGCATGAGCAGGGGACATCATGTGGAAAGGAACCATGAAACGCAAATGAGCGGCTCCCTTGCCTACAACGTTGCATTATGGGCCCACGTCTTGTACGCATCGGCTCGACACTCATCACGTAGACGGAATCAAATCGTCACCCAACGTCTGCCCGAAAATATAGTTAGTGAAGCGCAGAATATACGATGATAAAACGCACTCGGAATCAAATGCGGAAAGAGGATCCCTGGCCACTGCCCAAGCTCAATTCGTGCGCCTCTCTCGATATCTAGCAAACCAAGCCCTCATCGCTATCAATCACAGTAACTATTAGACCTGCACGCCACGCCACGCTGAAGTGAGTGGATCGACACACCTGGCGTTTGTGCATGAAAAAGTTGGACGTTCAGGGGATTGAACCCTGGACCTTATACAACTCTTCACTGCTTGGGGCAGTAGATGCAAAGCATACGCGCTACCACTGCGCTAAACGCCCATCATTGACGGACGAAACGTAGAATCCAGACCGGCAGCCATCAGAAACTGCCTCTACCATGGTGCGTACCAGTGTATGTTTTTACAGCGGCAGTAATACACAACATCCAGTTATCCATCTAGAACAAGATCCGAATAAAAATCAAGCATAGCTGTACCCGACGTGGCCGTCATCACATCATGCGCCACAAGAGATATAGACGACCGGGCTGGACGGTGCGGCAACGGGTGGGGTGCAGAAGAGAGCCAACGCCGATCATCGGGTTGCAATGAAACACGATTTCCATGCATACTCTAACGCATGTTGGGCAAGGCGGTCACTAGTGAGAGACGAATCCAGCCCAAGGGCCATGCACGTATAAGTGCGTATCAGCAATTGCCGAAGCTCGTGCAGTGTGGGGTCGGCAGCGCGGCAGGCTGAAAACCCGATATGTCGTGTCGGTCACCGGCTACTCGAGCCTCGCTTCGCCAGTACCAATAGTCGAATTCCGAGTAGGATGTAAATAGCCCAAAGGTGTACAAAAATATACACGAGCTAGTGGTCCAAGAAGGTCCAATCGCCTACCTCGATATATGTGCATTCACAAGAGGTGCTGCGGCATCTATACATGTGTACCATAGATACCGGGCTTGTGCGCATGGGGATGCTACAGCGCGGGGTGGGGAGAAAGATGCAGAATTAAGCGAGGTTGAGATGAGACGAAATATGTTCTCATGGGGCACCCGCAGCGCAAAACGTAGACGTCGAAAGTGTTGAGCCTCAAAGATACTTATCAACGGACGTCAACATTTGACATTCCAAGAAGGCTAATCTGCAAGTTCAACCACGCTCGCCAGTAGCTCCGGCATTCAAACGAGAGAAAACGGAGCTTGACCACACGCATGTGTATATCATTATCTGTTTGATCGCTTGGACCAAAATCAGTGTTCCGTGATCAGTACGTAGGAGTGGATATGCTGACCTTCGCTGACGTGATTCTTGATCCATGGGTAGTTTATATCGGGATCAGCGGGGCCTGATGGAGTATGTTAGCGAAGACGAGGGCAATACAGATTAGTTGTGGGCGCCATATTATGTCGAAGAGCATGGCCAAAGGAAGAAGTACCGTGGGGGATGATAGACGCCCGAAACCATGCTGCAAAGAACCTCCTACGTGGAGCCACAGTCGGCATCAGACTAGACCTCGAGAGAACCTCCAGCGCGGAATTATCAATCATCACTAGCGACGGGGGGCACGAGGCCCGAAGTACAATGTGGGCGCGAGAGATGAATGATATTCTACACGTGTCGAGAATAGGTTTTGAGAAAAGAACGTGGCGAGTGGAGCTGACGTTAACCTCATAGGCCGCTGAGCCGGAGAGGAAATCAAGGAAAGACATTGGGAGGCAGCAAGAGCGCAATAGCATCCGGATGTGGCTTCCCTGAGACCCAGCAAGTTACGATACTCGTCGTTAGTTGGGAAATGCGCCACCAGGAGGGTGAAGGCCCACGTCAGACACGTAATAGTTTCAAGGGCATAAGATGGATCCTGTCAGAAGGAGGAGGAGATCAGGCCACATTTGAACACTGGGCTAAGATAGCGGGCCCGCATGGGGTGGTGGTTGTGAATACTGAGAAGAGAAGGATGGGCGCCAAGTTTTGGCGATTGCGCACGTTGAAGACTCTCCGCGGAATACAGCGGCTTGGGCCGTGACAGGAGATGGAAGCACTGGGAAGTGAAGGGCGAAAGCTTCTGACTTTTGACAGCGTGGATCGTCGAGGACCTTGGGCAAAAGCAAACAGCACCAGCTAACAAACGCAAAGGTAGCGGTAACGATGTGAGTCCGCGACTGTGCAGGAACATGCTCGGGAACGGAGGATCGCGGTCGGCGACTTGACAGTCATAATAGTGGAGGGGAATGCCGATACGGCATATCAAGTCTCGTGGAATGCCAAAAATATCTCCTAAAACCCCCACGTTCCCGAAGGTCCACGCGTGTGTCGCAGAATGACAGTGTTGAACAGAAATTTGACATGTTTAGCGATGCATAGGGGTCACGAGTTGCTTCGCGCGTTCGCGCGCAGAATATGCGCCCCCGAGGTGTAGCCGCCGAGCCGTGCGCAAGCAGGGCTGCGAGCATGAAGGAAATCCGTCATGATATGATATTAGGCACTTGATGCGTCGGCGAAATCGCGAATGAGCCATCGTGAGATTGGGCAGGAATTAACCGTCGACACCGAGACTTGAACGGTTCAATGAAGCGCTGGAATGATAAAAAACGACGGGAAAGTGAAAGTGAATTGGGGGCCGGTGTTTGAGGTTCGATGTTTTATGGATCGTGACATCGTGTCATGAATGATGTGGTCTGTCCACGATTGTTAGCGATCGTTCTTGTGAAGTCAAATTGAATGAAGAGGGATCAACTTCACCCACCGTTGGCCGACACCCGGGGCTCCTGAATACAAATGAACCATTAGCGCTTAGCCTTGACATGGGCATGGCCGACCGCAGATAATGATGCGTATATTTGCTGTTGACAGGAGTTTTGTGTGAAAAAGAATAAGGCACGGGTGCATTTGGCCGAGTGAATTGACGCCCATCGATGAGAAGAACAGCATCGACCCGTGTCAGTGTGAGAGACAGAAAATTTCTCTGGTCGTTGTCGTCAGCGGCATCGAGGGCACAAATTCGTCGTTTAGTTCGGAGATCTGCATGGGGTGGACTGTCATCGCTAACTGTATAAGCGTTTGCCGACTGGTCGAACGCCATCGCCCAAATGGGGAACCGGCGGCTGACATAACGTTCTTAGTCAGGTTTTTCACGGTGCAACGGGATCAGACGTTGTCCTCCTCCTCCCAACGCTCCTTTATTCTTCTCTTTCTCCTTCGCTGCGACAATGGGTTGTGTTCAGTCAACTGGTGTAGACGATGAGGCCAAGGCTCGTGCGTATTACCATGCTCGTTGGGCCCAGATTGTCTCTAACAACTACTAGGCAACGACGAAATCGAGACTCAGTTGAAGCGGGACCGTATGATGGCGAAGAACGAGATTAAGATGTTGCTGCTGGGAGCTGGAGAGTCAGGAAAGGTGTGTGAAGCTGTGTCTTCGAGTAGGCAGCTTTCTCTTGGCTGACACGAAGGCGCGCCTAGTCGACAGTGCTGAAACAGATGAAGCTCATCCATCACGGAGGCTACAACGAGTCGGAGCGCGACTCGTACAAGGAGATTATCTTCTCCAACACTATTCAGTCTATGCGGTGCGTAATAGTGTCTTTGTTCTTCCTGAAACCATTGTGCTAACTCTGGTTCAGCGCTATCCTCGAAGCGCTACCCCAACTCGATATCGCCTTGGCGCCCTCGAACGATGCTCGCAGGAGCACCATCCTCGCTATGCCCGCTCAAATCGAGGCCGACACTCTTCCAGGCGACGTCGGGGATGCCATTCGTGCCCTCTGGAAGGATCCGGCAGTCAAGGAGGCTGTCCGCCGCGCTCGCGAGTTCCAACTCAACGATAGTGCTGTCTACTATTTCAACGCTATCGACCGTATGTCCTCGTCGAACTACTTGCCTACCGACCAGGATATCCTGCGTTCGCGTGTCAAGACTACCGGAATCACGGAGACGACGTTCAAGGTCGGCGAGCTGACCTACAAGCTGTTCGATGTCGGAGGCCAGCGGAGCGAGCGGAAGAAGTGGATCCATTGTTTCGAAAATGTCACCGCGTTGGTATTCCTGGTCAGCTTGAGCGAGTACGACCAGATGTTGTACGAGGACGAGAGCGTCGTACGTATCATTCTCTGTTAGGCATCTTGTCCGCGACTAACGGAACCATCGTAGAACCGAATGCAGGAGGCGCTAACCCTTTTCGACTCTATTTGCAACTCAAGATGGTTCGTCAAGACCTCTATCGTAAGTGTCTACTTATTGGGCATTCTTCATCAATCTTGTCCCTTTCATTGCCCCCGCATCTCCATGTCATACCTATCTGCCTCGGTCTCGCCGCTTTTCCGTCCTGCTACTGGCCTCTTTTCATAGGACTGATTCAATTATCTTTCCCACCTCCCTTCCTCTCATTCTCCGACCCATCTTTTCACCTAAAGTTTCATCGACGACATCACTTCATCACTATGGTCTCTTTCCCGTTTCGCCGCGCTAATGCCTAGCCCCGCAGATCCTCTTCCTCAACAAAATCGACCTTTTCGCCGAGAAGCTGCCACGTTCACCTCTAGGCGACTATTTCCCAGACTTCACCGGCGGCGATAACTATGACGCTGCGTGCGAATACCTCCTCCACCGCTTTGTCTCGCTCAACCAGAGTGCCGCGACGAAACAAATCTATGCGCATTATACGTGCGCGACCGACACGCAGCAAATCAAGTGTACGCCAGCTACATCATCTGTCTGGACAGTAAACTAACAAAATCTCACCTACGTACAGTCGTGCTCAGCGCCATTCAGGATATTCTTCTACAGCTTCACCTGCGGGAGTGCGGTCTCCTGTAGGCACCGGTCTTCCGTCTCGTCCAACCGTCGTATTTTTTATTACCCACTGTCACCCAATATGCTGATAATACCACATCCCCTATCGCACACCACCCCACATGCTTTCGCTCGCACACGTACACGTCCATGCACACACGATCCCGTCATGCGCGCCCCTACGTCCTTGCGTACCCCCACCACCGCCACGCCCACTCCACCGAACCACTGATGATTGAGCCCGTCCGCTCCTTTCCTTCTATCTTGTTTTACACTATTCAATGGTCATATCACATCGTTGTTTTCTCTCCCCTCTTGTTGTTCTTGTTCTGGCTGCGTTGGGGTTCATATCACGGATTTTATTTTTCGTCTTCTCTACCCTGTCCTGATGTGACTATCGCTGCCGCTGCCGTGCGCCGTGCCTCTCCTCGCTACACCACCCACACGATGGTCCATCACTACCGCCCACATCCCCACCCGACTATGTCCCTGCACCCGCATCGGCAAACAAGAAGGCAACGGCAGCCGCGCCCTCGCGATAC